ACGGCGCTCCTCCGATCTCTTCGTCTGACCCCCCCCACCTCGGAGCAGGCCCCGCCCACAATGTTTGTGCCCCACAATCCTCACCGGCGACCCTCTGCTGACCTTAATCCACTTTTTCCGGTGTCTGGAGTGCTGTGAAACTTTCACAGATTTTTCTTCCGACTCTGCCCACCTCGGAGCAGGCCCCGCCCACAATGTTTGTGCCCCACAATCCTCACCGGCGACCCTCTGCTGACCTTAATCCACTTTTTTCCGGTGTCTGGAGTGTTCTGGAACCGAGCTACAAACTTTTAAAATGAGTATCCTGCGATTTAGGGCAAGCTCCGCCCACTGTGGGCGGGTCTCAACACACTTTGAGCGTGCCCAACACTCGCCAGATATTTACATTCTGCACTGAGCTTTTTGCGACTTCTAAACACTCTCGCGAACCGGGTTACTGAGTTTTGAAGCACCGCCCACCTTGAGTACGCCCCGCCCATTTTGGGGGTGTCTCCCACAGGTAGTCTGGCAACTCCTTGCTAACCTTATTAACTTTTTCCCATCTTCAGGCTCAAGCGAATTATGAACATTTCTCTGCGGAACTCCCAAAATTTCAGCGAGTGCCCGGCCCACTGTGGGCGGGGCTTGGACAATGAATCAACTTTGCACTCACAGAAATGGTGATCTTGGAATTCAGTGGAATGTATCCAATCGCTTGGATCGCGAAGCACGAGAGCGGTTGCGCTGCACCGCTAATTGGGTGAACTGCCCCAACGGTGAAATTCAAACTGAGCCGCATTTTACAGTGTATGGACGTGGCGCAATTCAATGCTGCTGTCGCAGCGGACCAACTATTGGTGTTGGAGCACCACCGGTCATAGTCGCGCGATCAAATCGCAAAGTATAAATGCCTCCTACTGAATTTTTCGGTTCGTATCAAGTCAAGTAGTAAAAGTCACCCTGAAAATAGAGATAAACCCCATGTTGGAATATGTTGAGAATGTGAGGGCTCCATAAAAATGATTGGTTCACGTCAAAAAAGATTTCACAGAAAATTTTCGGACGATCTTTTTTTCATGCTCACGCTTTCTACTGATAACTGTCTCACGGACCTACTGTCTGTCTTTTTCAGCGGTAGTTGACTGGCAGCTATTCTGCGAGCACATAATTGCTCCGTTTGATGTGACCGAAATCGTGGTGAAACCTCTATCAGATGTGCTTCATATTTTACTGAAAACAAAGCTACTGGACAGTGAGGAGTATTTATGGAGTCAGCATGACGTGTTCAATGTTATTGAAGAGCTCACTAGTTGGTTTTCCGTTCCATCTCCGAGGGGAATGGCGAAAAGTCACTTTGATCATGGCTTGTAAGGGCAAAGTTCTTTCGGCGGTTTGGCAAAACACTTGGAAGCAATGGTGAAGCAATCGTTAAGTGCTCTTGATAAATACAAGCAAGCCCACATTCACCGTCTCGACCGTGAGACGGTGAAACCATCCATCATCGCCAAGGACCTTGAGAAGACCTACAGTATTGCCGTCAGCCTGAAGCAGCAGCAATCTCCATCGGGTGGGCACCTCATTTTACGTGGTTTCAGAATCTGTCGAACCGACGCGTGTTGGAGCTGTACTGGGAGAGTCTAGTCGAGAGAAGCAAATAGTGGCACCATAGGGACGTTATACGAGTGTCAG